GGGGGGGGCTTGTTCGGGTCGGCGGCTGTTGTTCGGTTTCGAAGCATGATGATGCCATCAAAGGCTTTTTCGCGCAGGGTTTGTGACTTTGTTTGGAAGCTCCCGCAAACCAAATGAGGTGGTCAGTGATCGAGGCTGTCGACCGGGTTGCCTTTTGGTTGACTGGTGGCCGGAAGCTGCTGCTGGCTTCCCCGGGGTGGAACGCTCAGACGCAGGCAACGTGGTTCAGACGTGAGCTAACCACCTACCCGGCTTAGCTACCTACTTGTACCTACCCTACCTTGCCTGAGCTATCTTTAGGTAAGGTAAGGTGAGGTGAGGTACTTGTAAGGCAAAGTCAGGTAGGGGACGGCGTGCCAAGGGTGCGGCTAGTGTGGGAGATCGAAGGAGGTTGGGAGCTCGTGCTGAAGCTGGAGAAGGTAGGCAGGGGAGGGTAGAAACCCGGGAGAGGCTTCGGTCGTCCGCTGTTCCGTTACGGATTTCCTCAAGCACTAAAACTCAAGCTCGACGATGGGACGGAGGAGATCAAGAGGTGGACGCCATGAAGAGAGGAGAGAGACAACATGAATTGACCAGTGACAGCGACGTACGGAGGCAGGCCCCCAGTCAGCCCCGTGCAGCAGCTGAGGCAAGGCATGTGGTGGTTGTATTGCAGGACCAGCCAGGTAAAGAAAAAAAAAACTGGAGGTGAAGGTGCCAGGGGTGAGAGGGGGGGGGGGGCTGGGCAATTCTTTCTGGCCCTGGAAACTCCCAGAGACCGGTGAAGGATCCCCTGTACAGTGTATAATGTACCTGCTGCTGGGGCTGTTTGGTAGAGGGGAGAGGCCCCTACCTCAAGAGGTACAGTACGTACAAGGTACTGGCTGGGTGGGGGGAAGTCATGCTGCTTTAGGGATCATCCAACTTCATCTCGCCCGCCGTGTCCGGGGAAATCCCAGTAAGAACCAAACCAACCTTCCGTAACATGCCCGGTACCTAGAATTCCAATCAACGTGTCTGAGCAATTGGGTAGGTAGCTAACTAGGTACACAGACTGGCATCCAACACGAGCCGCGCTTGCCAGGCTTATGGTGAGCACTTTCTGAATCATCAATTTGCTTTGGCCAGGCATCTACCAAGGCAAGCACCACCATGTATATCCTTCCTACCTGCCCAGGGTAAAACCCCTTTGGGTTGCGTGTATTCACGGGTTGCGTCTTGGGATGCTCGAATGTGACTTCCCCTGTAGGTAGGTACCTCAGGCAAGGTAGGTAGGTAGTGACGGCATGTCATAATGTAAGGCAGGTAGGCGGCGCAGCATCCAAAACCCCTCCACTATTGCGCACCAAGTCACTCATTTTCTTTTGTTGACAACATCCCCACCAGGACCACTCGATATTGAGCTCGTCTCGAGTTCAACATACCGTCGGTCGCCGATTTCTTCTTGGCATCGTGGTTGTGTCGTGCCATGTGTGGTCAGCTTGTCGCCTACCTTAGTCCGTAGAAGTCAGCCTCAAAACGGCCGCCTCTCTTGACTTCAACAGGTCACCACATGCAGGTATGCAGTCAGAGCAACGCATTGCCATGTCTGGCTCGTCCGGTGTGAGCATGGGCACCCTAATCTAAAAGCCAAAACGCACATTACGAAAAGCTCGCACTTTGCATCTCCGATGCAAAGAGGCGGCCCCGTCCACCGAGTTCGATGCAGCAACTGTCACTTCGTTCCGCCCTCGCAATAGGCCGCCCACGCGGCTCAGAATGCCGTTCGAGAGCAAACTGCTGTCAGCGGTTCAATATACCGCTGTAGCAGGCGAGCGGTACCGA